TTCTTAGAAAAGCAAGATATTTATACTTAGTATACTTTTACCAAGTATACCATAATAGAATGACATTATTGAAATATGAAATCATACTCTTATGGATATGATTAGAAACATGATAGCTATTCTTTTGTACCTGAGTCATTGTATAATGAATCTCTTAGGATAAGTATGTATATCTTAAATAAAATTTCTAGTAAGTTAATTCCATCAACTCCATTTGAGTTATGGATTGGTAGAAAACCTAATTTGAGACATCTACATATTTAGGATTGTTTTGTAAAATTAAGAATCTTCAATCAACATAAAAAAAAAAATGGATCCAAGAACTATTTTTTGATATTTTATTGATTATCCAGAAAAATCCAAGTGATATAATTTTTATTACCTTAATCATAATATGAGGATAATAGAATATAATAATGTAAGATTTCTAAAAAATGGTAAAATCAATGGGAGTGAAAAATCTTGAAGGATCCATTTTGATATAAAAAAGATACATATTGATACTCCTTTATCATTTCCTATTCGAGATATTGGCATTTCTTAAATCATTGAAAGAATTAATAAGGATAAATAATAAAATAACATTAATGAACTTCCACATGATATTGATATCATGGCTAATGATATTGTAAAACAACGACAACTGACAGTTTTAAGAAAGTCTCAAAAGAAAAGAAGATATATCATTTCTGATAATTATATACATGAATCAAATTATAATATAGGGATGAAAAGAAATCGTTTATTATTTTCACAAGTCATATAAAGTAGCGATTCTGAAAAGTGATATGATACGATGAAAGAAGAGTTGTAAATCAATGGACCAGAATAGTGTTTGAGAACTCATTGAATTACTCAATAATTATAAAAGAGTTAATTACAAATAGATCCTTAAGACAAAATATGATTCAAGAGGCAATATAGAATGATATAGAGTTAGACTTATGACCCAAATTTTTTTTCTCAAAATTAAAATATCGAATATAACAAGTTCTTTTCTTTAGTTTATAAAAAAAACTCATTAACGATCGTTATGACATTAATAATTCATTATGATATTAAGTTATATCAAATTGATGTGAACATAATATTTCTAAATTGAGATCTATTTGAGGAAATCTATATAGAATAAACTGAAGAATTCATAGAAAAGGAAATAGAAAGCTAGACATGTAAACTTATGAAATATATTTATAGGAATTGATATGTAAAGGAAATATCATATTTTTAATGATCGAGTGTGCTAAGGTGCGATACACCTATCAAATTGGGAGCATAGGGTCATGAAATATATTAATTAAGAATCATACCTCTTGAATAATTAATTTATAATAATTTATTATAATAATCCATAGAAAAATTTGATAAAATTCCTCATAAAATAAATCATAATTAACCTAAAATTTTATCTAGATTCTACCATCAAATTTTCTAATAATTCACACTATAATTAAATAAACTAGCTAGCATCAACTAAACTATTGTATAATTCTATGATGAAATTTTGCTTTACTATTCTAGCATATCAAACAATCTTGAATTATCATGAAACTTTTAGTTAACAAGGAAATATATAAAATTAAGTACATACCAAAATTTAACTTAAAACAGGATAATTTAGAGGATAAACTAACCTCCTAATTCAGCAACTAATACATAATCTATTCTGTTGAAACTGTGTTAGGACTATTTAAATTTATAAACCTCATATCTTAGTATACAGAGCTGGTATTCACGAAATTCTGAATCACAAGAACCCTAAGGGAGCCTTTTATAATATATCAAAATGCTAGAGCTTAATCATATCCCTAGGGATAATTCAATCCAAATAGAATCTCTTCTTAGAAAACAAGAGATTTTAAATATCTCAAATTAGGAATATAATAACTCTATGCATTAATTTCAAATTAAAGTTATCCCAAAGGCCTTAAAATCATAAGGAATCATCTAAAACATAGCAAAAAATTATAGATAAGTTTAAAGTCTATGTTACCTCAAAGAAGCCAGAAAGATTTGCTTATAATCTATAAAACTGAAACTCTAAGTATAGCAAAGGAAGAGTTGAATTTTTTTTTCTCGATATTCATTAAAGATGAGGTTTCTTGATCTCTATGAAAAAAGCTAAGAGAATGACTATAAAGAAAAGAAAGGATCATGGGCTATCAAGTTAGTAAAGAGGATGATAATAAAATAAGATTGAGATTTTTAAGAGGTTAACTTGAGGTTTAGGATTCAATCACATTAAGTCTCATTTCAAGTTTTTTTTTTCCTTTCTTTTTTTATTAATATAATTTTAATATTGTAGCAACCTTAATTGAGTTTACTTTGGTACCGTAAAGATATATTTTTGATCTAAACATATCCTTTAATTTCACTTATGTATCTCAACATTTAGTATAACACTCCTCTTTGATTTGCATCTCTATTTCATATTTTATTACTCTATTTATGTCTAAGTAGCTTATGATCCTTCGTATACATAAGGTTTAAAACTTAAATTTTCTTACTTTAATTATGTTCAAACTCATTCAAGCCTTGACATTTATTTAAGACCAATTAAAATCCAATCATAACTTCTAGTTACTATATGCATGATTATTATCATAACTTAACCTCATATTCAAGTCCACTAGTACACTTTGGCCTTTTGCTTTTTACTTAATGTAAACATTAATGTTATACATGTTAAACTAATATTGTGTAGGACATTTAGAATGATATTTTTGGAAAGCATATACTTCAATCTTAAAAGTAGAAAACATGAGCATGTCATTTATCATATTTATGAAACATAAATATCATAAATCATATCATAAATTAAGGATAATATAAATATATTATTGTGTTTCTATTAGCATGCTAGTAGTACTTCTATGTGTGTGAAATTCAAATACTATAATAAAATATTATATGCTCACATACAAGAGATTGGATTAGTTTAAAATGATGAAATATTCATATGCTAATTTTATAAATTACCTCCATGATAGGAAGTCTACTTCATGATTTAGATTTATGTTAGTTGGAGAGGATATTTCTTAGAAAAGTATAAAGCAATCGCTTATTGCATCATTAACAATGGAAACTAAATTTATGATATGTTTTAAGACCACAATTCGAGCTTTATGGTTGCGATTAAGACTTGATATGATCAACTCAATTGCTAAGCTACTGAAAATATTTTATTATAATACTATAGTAATTTTCTTCTATAAGAATGATAAGTATTCTAGCAATTGCAAGTATATTGAGATAAAATATTTAACGGTTAAAAAAAAGTTTAAAAATAATATATATCAATTGAGAACCAAAGCACCACCTTGACGATTATTGATTTATTTACTAAAACTTTACTATCTAAAATATTTAAATAATATATTTTTAGAATGAGACTTATAAGTAAGTCATAGGTATGGCTATTATTGATATTTTTATTACTTAATTATAGTTATTAATATTTGTTTTCATGTTTACATTTATGTTTATAAATATAATAATAGAATTATCTTAATAAGATAAATTATAAGGTTATTATGGATATTATTAGGAAAAGCTAATAGTATTATGATAGAGTATGATATTGATGATATGCAATCGTTTTGACTCGTATTACTAGTTAGACTTAATATAGTATTATTATACTTATTGGATTTATTAGTTTTTTTAATTCATGGTCATGTACAAAATGTATTTTAATTTTTTTAAATATAATTAAGTAAAATTATTTTTAAATAAACTTATATTTTATTTATTTTGATATTAAACTTTTTAATATCTTATTAATTAATGGGTCAAGTAGAAAAATATCAAATTATATGATCTTATCTAATTAGGTAAGATATATTATAAATTTGATTAAATTCTAATGATAGTTATCAGTAAATAGAAAGAAAATCTAATTCTATGATTTCTTATGAGATCATAGAAGGATTTTTTTAATTGTACCTTTTGCTCTATATTATAGATATTCTACATGTGATTGTCTATATTATAATTATTCTCAATGTGATTTTTGATTCCATGATGGTGCGTCAACAGATCAGATGCAAAATTTTTGGATGACATTAAAAGATAATGATAGATTTGATCTATCGTTATTTAATTTCAGTTTCTAACATTAAATTTTTTTATATAATAACATAATCACATCTTAAATACGCTCAATACAAATATTCAATAGTTGGTACAAGAAATCTTGATAGTAGAAACCATACGATGAGACAAAAGCTATTATGTTGTAATGCAACAATTAATATCGTTTGGCTAAGCCTCCCAATTAATTTAGCATTAGCATGATGTGCGGAAGGACGAGATAAGATCATGTTTACATGGCTCGAACATTCTGTATGGGGATAACTACAGGGATTCAGCTGATTCCGAGGCTAGGAAATGTCATGCCTTGCTGTTTCAGCAAAAGACAAAAATCATGGAGGACGAGGCGACCATGCGGAGACCACTAGCGATCGTAAGTATCCTGCGAAAAGCATCACACTTGGTTTACGCCACGTGAAAGCGTCGGTACTCCTCCTTAGTCCTTCCGGCCTTATATGAGTGCCAAGCGGCCGCGCTGCCAAGCTGCAGAGGACGGGCCAGTAGCACGGCCTCACGGGGGCTGTCGACGGTCTCACTCAGTTGGATGCCCGAGCCTCGAGGTCAACCGGAATTATTGTCACCGACACGGTAAGACTCGAGCCTCCTTTTCCGCCTCCAACCATGCACCCACCCCTTGTTATGTGTTCTTATTTGCCGAAGCAGATCAATAGGTTTCCCTGCATGCAGATTTTTTGACTTAGCGGAGGAAAAAGAAGAACAGCTCTGCAGCAGATAGTTTAAATAGCAATGTGTCCCTCCTCAACAAAACCGTGATGACTGCAATCGCTCAACCACCAATAATTTCGAGGCACACTTGTGCCTTTTCCCCTTCTCCAATCATTTCATTTGCCGAACAAACACCTCCATTACGACGTCCAAATCTCCCAGCTGTATCTGTCTGTATTCATCTCCCACTCCTTCGATTCTTCCACGTATGCCAGAGAGATCGTAACATGGGAGAGTGCAAAAGCCTTGAGATTTAGCTTTCCGAGCGAGGAGTTAATGAGATGTCTTATAAGTAGGTGGTGCTGACGGTTGCTTCGTTGACAGAGTGCGAGATAGAAGAAAGGCATGGGTCGCCGACGCAGCTTCTGCTTCTCGCCCATGCAACTGTTCCTCTTCTTCTCGGGGCTCCTGCTTATCCCCACTCTCAGCAGCAGCAGCAGCAGCACAAGTGACAGGAAAGCCCTTGAGATCGGCATCGGCATCGGCATCGGCGGCGGGCCTCCGCCTCCGCCTCAGCCTCCGGAAGCTCAGCCCAGAAGGCCTCCTTCTTCCCCGCAGCAGCCGCAGCCTTGCGACTTCGAGAACATCCTGCAGTACAGAGCCTACTTCGTCATCCAGCGGTTCAAGAGAACCATCACCTGCGATCCCTTGAACAAGACCGACACGTGGAGCGGGTTCAAGTTATGCAACAACGACGGCGATGGCTACCAAGGCTTCTACTGCGAGACGCCGCCCAACCGGAAAAACATGCGAACCATCGCCTCCGTCGACTTCAATGGCTTCAAGCTCGGGGCCCCAACCGTCTCAAGGTTCGTCGACCAGCTCCCCGACCTCGCGCTCTTCCATGCCAACTCCAACAACTTAGGCGGCACCGTCCCGTACATCCGTACACTGCCATTCTTCTACGAGCTCGACCTCAGCAACAACGACTTCTCCGGCGGATTCCCCGTCAACGTGCTCCCCCTCGTCAACCTCTCCTTCCTCGACCTCCGCTACAACGGCTTCGCCAGCCCCCTCCCGCCTTCCGTCTTCCTCATCCAAACCCAGGTGCTCTTCCTCAACAACAACAAGTTCTACCAGCACATACCCGACAACCTCGGCAGCACCCCCGCCGCCTACATCACCTTCGCCTACAACGACTTCACCGGCCCCATCCCTAGCTCCATCGGCAAAGCTTGCGAGACGCTGATCGAGATCCTGTTCCTCGGCAACCGGCTCTCCGGCTGCCTCCCCTTCGAGGTGGGGCTGCTGAAGAAGGCCACGGTGTTCGATGCCGGGTCCAACCAGCTCACCGGCCCAATCCCCCTCTCCTTCGGGTGCTTGGAGAAGGTGGAGCAGCTCAACCTGGCGGGGAACCAGCTCTGCGGGGAGGTGCCCGACGTGGTGTGCCGGCTGGCCAAGTACGGCAAGCTGGTCAACCTCTCCCTCTCCGACAACTACTTCACGTCTTTGGCGCCCAGCTGCATCAGCTTGATCCATTCGAATGTGTTGGACGTGAGGAAGAACTGCATTCCGTGGCTGCCCCACCAGAGGTCGCCGGAGGAGTGCGCCTGGTTCCTGAAGCTCCCCAAGGTCTTCTGCCCCAACGCGCACTACATTCCCTGCCACTTGCCATGGGAGGGCAGGGACGAGCTCGATTCGTCCGCATCGTCGTCGCCGGCGGTGGATGGAGGGAGGGACAAAAGTCCGGCGTCTGGGTACACCACTTACCAGGCCCTGCACCACCATGACAAGCCATAACCAACGGGAATTCGCGGTTTAGGTGTTCATGCCCGTGTCTGTCATCCACGTCCAGTAACTGCATCTCTGTTTTCCTTGTAGCTTCTACTCGTTTCCTCCCTTTATCTTCGTGCAAACATTAGTGCCGTCGAGCTAAATGTAGACAATGCATTAACGCCATGGATCTACTCCTCTTCCACCCCGGTTCAGTTGTAAGCGTGGTGTTGCAGCATTCTAATGTAATAAAAACTTTCTTCTCGTCCGATGAATCCAAGCTTGTTGCACTTCTTTAGGACAGAAATCTGTGCAGTACATTGCAAATAAAGATTGTATACATGGTTGTCCAATTTGTCAAATTAGTATTATCCATAAGGTCCTTTGAAAAATGGTCTGCATGAATACAAATGGTAGTGTGTGTGTTTTTGAATTTTTAGCTTAACTCCCCAAATAGTCAGGATTTACTATTTTGTTTGTGTTGTTGCTGTTGTAGTGCTTTTTAGTATAACAACTAGTAATCAGTATGTGAACATTACTCTCACATGAATTTTTCTATTTGTATTTATTTAAAATTTATAAAGATTAAATGATGAAGATGAACTATGATCACATGATCGTAAATCTATATCTATCAGTTCCATCTATCCTGTGATATAAGATTGACATATTTGATGGTTGACCAAGCAAATGTCTTCCTCCTATTTGGAGTAGTGTAAATAATAGACTTACTCTAACATGCATCAAAACCCTATTCCACTCTCACATTCCGACGCATCAAGTCTTGCTAAGGCTCTCTTCTATGGTCCATGCATAGCATTTTATCTTGCATTATCTGAGGAAGAACAATTCTCCATCAGTGCTTTTATATTGGTATGTTTCTTTGGATTTTTCTAGCTTATCTATCTTCCATTGCACACACTTTACTCCTAAATCACATCCATGAGGTGAGCGATGGCTCTTTATTGTACTTGTAATTGCAACTCTCCAGTTCTGTGGGATCAGAATATATGCCATTATTCTACTGTGTTGCACAGATTGCCATTATTCTTAGGTCCCTCATCAACCAAATGCTGGTTTCATGGTCCGTAGAGAAGACATTTAATGAGGGAAGGGGTTGCACTCTGAATTCAAATTCTTTAACACACCAAGAGGAGAATAATCCTAGGATTAACTTGACATAACCGTAATCACCATCAAATTTATTTAAGTGGTGATTCAGAAAATTTTTTATGATCGATTATATCGATATCATAAGTAGTATTACACTCTCCTCACCTCAAGACCATATGATCCAAAAATGCTTTAAAAGGTAATATGTTCAATTAGTAATTATAAATCAAATCAAGTAACTAAATTATGGTGTTAGAGATGAATTACTTAATTTTTCTTGTCGGATAACATTTTCATAAAGGGCTTATCCTTGGTGTCTATTGTTATTGGACATCTAGATTGTTTGATTAGGACATGCCCTAATCTATGGGAAGTGCCTTGACACATGAACCTATGGTTGGTGGCTTCACCCCTCAATTATTAGGTTGATCATGTGATCTGTTTATGGGAAAATATAACTGTGCATTTTCTTGTTTAAAGTCATATCATTGTACAAATGTCTTGTGACAAAATCACATGAAACTTATGTGATGGGCCATTTGTAGGTCTCATCATAATGGTGACAGAGCAAGTGCCATGCTGAAGAGGGACTTGAACTTGATTCATAGGACAATATTGGTGAGCTTAGTTCCATTTCATAAAGGGGAAAGCATCTTCACCCAATTAGGTGGAGTTCAATACTGATAGATTCTATCAAAGGTCAATGACTAACATTTAAACACAGTACAAATCCAGACAAGCTGCATAAAGGAATGTATAATTGCAATGAATCTTAATTGTTAAAAGAACAGTCATGTTTTAGTAGTTCCACTATCATCTCATCCCTACCACCATTTAAGTTTAGCATGGTTTAGATATGTCATCACAACTATCACAAATCAAATATTTAATTATCTATACTGTAGTACACAACATTAGTAAGTGCATTTCTTTCTTCTTCATGTCCTATTCCAAAAAAAAAAAAAGTTTTGAACTTTGGAAACCAAGAAGAATATTAATTTCAAGGACTTGTAATTTTTTTCCATAAATTTGAAAATTTAATTGTCTGAATGTTAAATTTGTTTTGAGAGCCTATTAAAGCTGTCAAGAATGTTTTCACCAAAATGTCAATTGTTTCTCCATGAAAAGTTTTCATAGTACAGCAAATTAATTTTATTGATCAACCCAAGAACAAATGTATGCTTTATGGGCATATAGCTCCCTACTCAGATTCTTTTCTTGTATTTATTAGGAGTTTGGAGGATTTCATGCTTTCTCCAGTAGCTTCCCTTGTCACTGATAATTCATCTTGGATTGTTATAGCCAAAAGAAAAACCTTAAAGACATTGACTTATTAATCACTATTCCATTGAGCATTTTGTTGGGTAAAACGTTCCACATTTATATTTTTTTATTAAAAAATAATAAAATTTATTTAAAAAAAAAAGATAAAATCGAGATAGAATTTGAAGGCACATAAACATTGTCTTCAGGTGAAATCTCATCCTTACATATCGGATTTTTTTAAAGATTTTCACCCCATTATTATCTATTTTTTTAGCATGATTGTTAAATAACTTAACTATACTCTTTCGCCAATCTAGCAATAGAAACATATGTAAGCTAAGAGGAAATATTATATTTATCTCTTCATTGAATTGATTAGGATTATAGAGGCTAAAAGTGCCCTAAAGATTATCATGAAAGAACATTTACCCAAGAAACACGTTCTTTCATATATATAACCATCAAAAACTAATAGTAAAATATTTTAAATTTTAAAATTAAATACAACACATTTGTGGTGCATATTATGATGTTATGTTCTTGAAACATTAATTATAAAGCTACGTACAAGGCATTTTACCTTTTTCTTCATATATATATATATATATATATATATATATATATAT